ACCTTCAGATTGACTCTGTGCTTGGTTCTTTTCCCTAACAGCTTTGAGATCCACCATGAAGATAGAGATGGCTCTAGCACAGACCCATCACACCATATTGGATTTGGTCCACTTACCCATCCTGCGTACAAGAATCCTCTGTCCCTTCTAGGGTAGGTTCCCAATAATCTATGAGAAATGTGAAAGCCTATAGTCACCCCCCCCTCAAAATGTCTCAGATAGACATAGTAACTAGGCAGGAGAAAAGAAGGGACCCAGTTCAAATCTTTTATCTGTCATTCACATAATTATAGAACCTTAGACTTGGAAAGGCCTTTGAAGGCCATCTAATTCAACCTTAATATTAAAAATTCACTCACTGACATTCCCTCATGTTATGACATTACTATGCTAGAGTCAAGTTTTAGTGTGTCTGACTGTGGCTGATCAGATCAATATGAGCTTGGAATGTTCTACCACAACATTGGACACAAATAGTCCATGTGAACCTTTGGGGTGGATTCTCTAAGTCTGTGCATCTTCTGTTTCTCTTGAGCTATTTCAATTCTGCTTTGCTCATAAAGCACAACACCTTTTCTGATGTGGGCATGCCATGCTGAGCGGTCCTGTGCCAGTGTCTCCCATGTCACACAATCAATTCCAAAGTTCTCAAGAGAGACCTTGAGAGTGTCCTTGTATCATTTCTTCTGACCACCATGTGAACACTTGCCCTGTGTGAGTTCTCCATAAAATATTCTTTTTGGCAAGCATACGTTTTACATTCAAACAATGTGGCCAGCCCATGAAAGTTGCCCCCTGAAGCAGAGTTTGAATGTTTGTCAGTTTAGTTCGAAAAAGGACCTCAGCGTCTGGTATCTTATCCTGCCCTGTGATATTCAGAATCTTCCTAAGACAATTGAAATGGAAGCAATTCAGTTTCCTAGCATGGTAATGGCATACTGTCCAGGTCTCACAGGCATACAATGGGAAAGGGAAGCCAGTGAAGTTATAAGAGATGAAGAAATAAAAAAAAAAGGACAAAGAATGAAAAAATAGAAGAGAATGTGAAACATCTCATAAGAAAACCAACAGATCTAGAGAACAGATCAAAAAGAGAAAACATAAGAATAATTGGAGTACTTGAAAGTTCTGATCAAAAAAAGAATCTTGATACAATAATACAAGAAATAATTAAAGAAAATTGTCCTGAAGCATTAGAACAAGAAGGGACAGGAGAACTAGAAAGAATCCACCAATCATCACATGAAGGAGATCCTAAGAGGAAAACTCACAGAAATGTTTTAGTCAAATTCTGAAACTGCCAGATCAAGGACAAAATATTATGAACAACAAGAAAAAAACAATTTACTTATGGCAGTACTACAATTAGAATCACACAAGACCTAGCAGCGGCAACAGTAAAAGATCACAGATCTTGGAACAGTATATATTGAATAGCAAGAGAACTGGGTTTCTGGCTGGAAATATCATATCCAGCAAAGTTAAACATAATTCTGAATGAAAAAAAATGGATATTTGATCAATTGTCAGACTTTCAGGTCTTTGTTAAAAAGAAAAACAAAACACACACACACACACACACACACACACACACACACTCAAAACCCCAAACTCAATAGAAGATTTAACGTACAAGAGCCAAGAGAAATTTAAGGTACATACCAATGACCAATTACAAGGGACTAAATAGGGATAGAATGTTTACCTTTTATGTAAGAAAAATATAAAACCTATGTGTAAGATTGTTACTAGTAATTAGGTAACATAAGGAAGGGTAGACCTGAGTATGATAAGACTTCAAAATGTAAAACCATTCAAGTGCAGCTAAAAGAGTAATTGTCTTGCTACAAATGAGGTGCAAGAGGAAGAACCACTACAGAGGAATTAGATGGGGGAGGGGGGCTGTTAGTTCTGGAAACCTACTCTCACCGGGAATGGGTTTAAGAGGGGAAAATACACACACATTTAGAAGAGTGTAAAAGTCTTCTAAATTTAGAAAGAAATAAAACTCTAAGAGGATAGGGAGGGAAGAGAGGATAAAGGAGGGATCTTTAGAGGGGAGGGTGTGGGAATAGGTTAAAAGGGGGATATAGAAGGGGGCTTAGATTTAGGGGAATGGGAGGATAAAGGAGGGATTGCTAGAGTGGGGGTAGGTTAAGTAATAGAAGGGTAAGGTAGCAGGTAAAAGTAAAGTAGAAGAGTTAGGAGAGATAGAAAAAAAGAGATATGCACAAGCATAAAAACAAAGATTAGGAGTAGAATCTCTTAGAGAAAGTATATGTTTATATATATATGTGTGTATATGTATGTGTATATATGTATAAGTGTATGTATATATCAATACCTATATATAAATATATCCAATGTTCAATTATAGCCTTGGGGTGGTGGGTAGGAGGGAGTGGGAAATGGAACAAAGTAAATAGTGTATAGCAGAGAACAAAAGAAAACCTATACAGAAGCAAAGAAAGGATGGACAGCTTTCAACATAATGCACAGTATTTAATATATAGGCTTTCTTGAAATGAAAAGTTATGGCTATGTATTTTGAATCCTCTCCTATGTTCTACTGTGCACATGAAAATTTTCTGATTTTCTTATTTTATATTTGAATTTATAATGTTTCTTTTTTTTCTTATTATGTATTCAAGTTTTAGCATTTATCCAAAATTTTAAAAGTAAGGGAAAATAAAATAAAAAATGTTGCTTAGGGCATCAGACATGATATTTTGTCAGTTTTTTTCTGAACTCTTTTTCTACATTACATGATTTTTGCCATGGTATAATGTATGTGGATAGGCATCTTGAGGAGCAGTTGTGGGAAGAGTTCTCCTTTCCTTGGGACTTCTCTCAGCCTGGTTCTCCCTCTCTGAGATGCCTTTAGGACCAATGACTTCTGCATGGGCTCACTGGAATTCACTAACTCTGGAACTTCTCATTCAGTCAATGAACTTGGCTGCACTTCAGAAAGCAGTGCCTGAATCTATACAGTTAGTTTAACACCTCCTCCTTGGCTCATTTGAAATAATTAGGTCTTGATCTTTCAAAGACCAACTGCCCTTTGAAGAAAGCAAAGGTATCTTTAATTATGTGAAAAAATAGTCTAAACCTCTATTGATTAGAGAAATGCAAATTAAAACAACTTCGAGGTACCACCTCACATCTATCAGATTGACTAACATGACAGAAAAGGAGAATGACAAATATTGGAGGACGTATGGAAAAACTGGGACACTAATGCACACAGTTGGTGGAGTTGTGAACTGATACAATTATTCTGGACAGCAATCTGGAGCTATGCCCAAAGGGCTATAAAACTGTGCATGTGGTTTGAACAAGCAATACAACTTGTAGGTCTGTATCTTAAAGAGATTGAAAGGGAGAGGAAGGACCTATTTGTACAAAAATATTTATAGTAGCTTTTTTTGTGGTGGCAAAGAATTGGAAATTGAGGAGATGTCCATCAATTGGGGAATGGCTGAACAAGTTGTGGCATACAATTGTGACAAAATATTGCTGTGCTATAAGAAAATGACAAGAGTAGTAGTTTCAGAAAAAATCTTGGAAGATACATATGAACTGTTGCAAAGTGAAGTGAGAAGAACTGGGAGAACATCGAGCAAAGGAATAGCAATATGGTAGAATGATCAACTGTTAATGACTTATCTATGTTCTCAGCAGCACAATGATCAAAACCAATTCCAAAGAACTTACAATGAAAAATGCTGTCCACCTCCAGAGAAATAACTGATCGAAGTCTGAATGCAGATCAAAGCAGGCTGTTTTTCACTTTCTTGTTACTGTTTTTTCTTTCTGGCTCTCTATCATCTTTCACAACATGGCTATTATGGAAACATGTTTTGCATGATCACACATGTAAAACTGGTATGAAATTGCTTACTGTCTCAGGGAGGAGGGAGGAGGAGGAGAGGAGAGAATTTAGAACTAAAACTTTTTGAAATGAATGTAAAATGTCTTAACATGTAATTGGAAAAAAATAAAATATTCAAAAAAAGAAAACTGTCTATTCATATTCTTTGATATGAATTTATTAATTGGATTTATCAATTGGAATGAGCCATGTGGCTTACTTCCTTCTTGTTCAAAGGTAATTCTGTTATAGGTAAGAGTGTCATTGCCCTGTACATGAATATACAAAAACCTGAGGTTTTACATCATGAATTCCACCTGGTCTTATGCCAACTGCCAGATTTTACTGACCTCCCTTCATATTGACCTTGAATAATTCAATTTGATTCAGTTCAATTCAATCAACATTTATTGAGTCCCTACAAGACAGGGCACCATTCTGGGTGCTAAGTACACAGAGAGGAAACAAACAAAAACAGCCCCTGCCTTCCAAGACTTTATATTCTACAGGGTGAATGGCAGCTATAGTGCATATAAAGGAATGAACATAGGCAATTTGGGGAAGGAAACATCACTAATAACTAGCAGAATGAGGAATGTTTTTTCATTGGAGTTGGTACCTAAGGAATGTCAGAGGGAAAGGCAAGTTGGTAAAAGAACCTGGGCATAGGGGCACAGCCTGTGCAAAGGCAAGTGACTGGGAGGTTGGAAGACAAGTTTGACTGGAACAGAGGTGTGAGGAGGGGAAGCATGAGAAGTAAGCTTTGGAGTCAGGGCAGCTTCAGGAAAATGGGCACAGGTTCTCTGTGAAGTGTTCTCTGGGACTCTTTATTTTAATTACATTTTGTGTTCATTTATTTGGGTCTGTGTTGTCTCCCCAGGCAGAATGTGAGCTCCTGGAGAACAAAGCTTGCTGGCTTTTTGTCTTCATGTCTTCAGTGCCTAGCACTTAGGAAGTGTTTAATTAATGCTTGTTGATTGATTCACATACTGGAACCTCCTGGAAACCTGGAGTCCAAGCAGGAGCACTGGTGCTCTAGATGCTGGGTGCATGGACTCCCTCCAGGAGAAGGGGAACCCCCAGGTCAGACTAGAATCCTTTTCTTCCCTGTCAGACTCCTGGAGCAATGTTAAAACTGACTTATTTTCACTGCAGCATCACCTTCATCTCTAGGACTTGCTCCTTCCCGTGAATGTCTTCCCGTGAAAGAATGGAAACAAGAAACAAATGTGAGGGTGTGCAATAGAGGAAAGGGAAGTGAATAAGCATTTATTCCTGCTATCAGCCAGGCACCATGCCAAATGCTTTTACAAACATTACCTCATCTAACTTGGGGGGAGGGCGGAAACTTGTCTGAGATAGCTAGGAAACCCAGGATAACTATTGGATACAATGAGTCTATGTCTTTGGGCACCACCTCGTGGTAATGCCTTTGTTTAAATAAAAAGGTTTTCAACTCAAAATTCAATCCAGTTGAAGAAGTATTTATTAGGCATCTCTTAATGGTGGTCACTGGATTTACCAAAACAATGGTGTACTGTGAAAAGAGCCCCTAGCTCTGACAATTTTTAATCTATGTGACAGTGGCCAACTTGTTTTATTTTCTCAACTGTAGAAGAGGGGATTAGACTTGTTGACCTCCAGTATGGGATGTCAGAGCTATTAGGTACCTCAGATGTCTAGCCCCTACATGGTCCTAATGTCCTAGGTCCCATGGTTATAAACTGGCCAACTAGGACTTGGATCCAAGATTTTACAGTCCAAGTTGAAAGTCTTTCCACAGCACCACAGGACCTCTGAGCACTATTTCCTTCACTGGCTCTCCATCCTTTTCCTGATCCCTTAAAGTCAGGCAATATAGAAGGGTCCTCTCCATTCTTCTCTATATAATCTCCTTTGGCTTCCCAGACCCTGGTTTCTTCTTGTTGTACTCTTACCTCTCTGACTACTCCTTCTGTGTCTTTAATGGACTTCTCATACTCCTTTTACCCCCTCAGTGAGAATAGAAAGAATATAAGCTTTATTAAGCTCTTATTGTGTAAAAGCATTGTAGTAGTCTGTGGAGTACTGAGGACACAAGGATAAAGTCAGAAAAGTCCCTGCCCCAAGGAGCTTACTATCTATACAAATGACACACACTCCTTCCATTCCCTTCTCTTAGAAGGATAGACAGACTTCTTAGGCAAGATAGGACTGACCTTCCACAAAACTATGAAGTTTGAAGGCTGATCCCTCTCCCACCGTCCTAAGCTCTCCTGTCAATGTCATCAGCTATATCCCTCCATCCCATTATCCACCCCATTCACAACCTCTTTCCAGCTCTTGAAAGTTACTGAAAACAATACTGCCATTGCTCCTGGAAAGACTTTGTCAATCAACCCCCCTGTGATTCCACTGACTACCTCTGTGACTCTCCAGACCAAAACATTCATCCAGGCCCATGATTCTCTCATGTATACTTTCTTCCTCTAGTAGAATTTAAGCTCCTTCAGGGTAAGGACTCTTTGCTTACATATTTGTTTCCCAAATGCTTAGCATAAAGCATGGTAAACAGTAACTATTTAAGGAATACATTCATTTATTCTTCTAGTACAACTGTCTCTTTTTACAGATGAGGAAGATGAAGCTCAGGCAAGTTAAGTAACCTCCCCAAGACACCACAGAGAGTACTCACCCATTTTCTATATCTTTGATGGTGTCAGGCATTGGTTTATTTTGGGTTTCTGGGAGGAAGAAGAAGACCACAAGGCCGGCAGTGATGGCCATGGCTGCAAAGATGATCAGTGGCAGTGCTGGAATGTAGTGTTTGAGTATATTCACCAATGGGGCCAGAATTGCCCCAACCCGATCTACCATGAGATTGAGGCCCTTGCACGTGCTCCTGTCAGGACAAAGAAGATCTGATTGTCCTAGACTCAACACTTGTTAAATATCCCCTTCCTTTAACTTCCTGTGAGTAAACTCTATAGCATGTGGGAATTATTCCTGCAGGGCTGAAGTTCTTAAAACCTGTAGGAAGCTCAAGGGCTCCTTGAATTTATGTATTTGAAAAGAAAGAAACTGTTGTTCTATCCCCAAATGATCTTGCCAATAAGTAAGCAGGTACGTTAGTTTGATCTTGCCAGAATAGCTTAATTTCTCCTGTTTTGCTCTTGTATTCACAGCTGAATGGGTAAAGGATTAAGCTTCTTCATCACTAGGATGGATGAAACTCCTCCATTGGTAGCACCCTGGGAAGGGAGCCACCATTTTCTCATATCTCTCCTCTTAGTAAAGTGTAAGCTCCTTGAGATTACAGACTAGTGGCTTATCTATTTCCTAGAAAAGCTAAGAAAACAACATACAAAATGAACATAATGAGATAAATGGAAAAAATGACACAAAGAAGTGTTATGACTAGACACACTTCCTTCTCCCCCTAGCCCTTGAAGAGGTGAGCGATCCATGGGCATGAAATATTCCTGATATTTTCAGAGTTTTTCAGTGTGTTGATCAGTTTTACCCATTTTCTTCTCTTCTTCCTCTTTTCTTATTTCCTGTTAAAATATTTTTTGCCCAGAATGGCTCTTAAGATGGGGAGTGAGGGGAGGAATAATGGGAGAATTTTAGGTAATGTAAAAACAAAATATTTTGCACCTGGTCCCATCACTTTCTGGTAAAGTGAGGGAGAAGAAATGGAAGCAGTGTCTGATTTTTCTATTCTTGGGTTCAAGCATCATTGTAAATGGCAACTGCAGCCATGAAATTTAAAAACACTTGCTACTTAGGAGGAAAGCTCTGGCAAACTAGGACAGAATATTAAAAAGCAGAGACATCACCTTGCTGACGAAGCTCCACCTACTCAAAGCTACGGTTTTTCCAGTACCAATGTATGCATTTGAGAGTTGGACTATAAGGAAGGCTGAATGTTGAAGAATTGACACTTGAATTGTGGTGCTGAAAAAGACTTTTGAGAGTCTGTTGGACAGCAAGGAGATCAAATCAATCAATACTTAGAGAAAGTAATTCAGACTGTTCACTGGAAGGTCAAACATGAAGTTGAAACTTAAATACTTTGACCACATAATGCAAAGAAGGACTCATTGGAAAAGACCCTAATATTGGGATGTTGGGAAAGACTGAAGGAAAAAGGAAAAGAGGATGGCACAGGTTAGAGTGAATAGACTGTCATGGAAACAATGAACCTGAACTTGGACAGATTTTGAGAGATAGTGGAGGATAGAAAACCTGATATTCTAGGTCCATGGAGTCACAAAGAGTTGGACATAACTGAAGACTGAACATCAAAAACAAATTTATCACTAAATTAAAAAAAAGGATTAACCTTGTCTTTATTTTCAGAGTTTGTAATGAAATCCATTCTTGCTTCTCTCCTCTTTCCCTTCATTCTTCTTTTCCTCATTCTATTTTTATCTTTTTCTGTTCATACTTTCTTTCTTTCCTTCTTAGTTCCTTCCTTTACCAGAACATAGAAGATATATTATGGAACCTGGAGTCAAAAAGACTTGGATTTGAATACTTGAACCCTGGTGTGACTTGTATAGAATCACAGAATCTGAGAGTTGGACAGGACCTAGATGGCCATCTAGTCCAACTCATGCATGAAGAAATACCCCCTATAATACACCCAACAAGTGGTTGCCCAGCATCTGTTTAAAGCCTCCAAGAAGGAGGACCTCACCACCTCTTGAGGGGTCCCATCACCAGCCCAGTTGGGGACAAGTGAAATCCTTAGGAAGCTTTTCCTGACATCAAGGTTAAATGTGCCTGTGAACATCCATCATCGCTCCTGGCTCTGATCTTGGTTAGGGCCAAACAGAAGAAGGCTACTCTCTTCTCCACAAGACAACCCTTCAGATACTAAAAGGCAGGACTCGTCTTCCCCTTGAATCTGCTTTTCTTAAGACTAAACATGCCAAGTTCCTACAACTGATCCTCTTGGGTCATAAACTCATGGCCCTTCACCATCCTGGTTGTCCTCTTCTAGATACCTGTCAGATCATCAACATCTGTGGTGCCCAGATGAGGTGTGCCAAGGGCAGGGGACAGAGGAACTATCACCTCTTTGTCCCTGGAAGCAATGTGCAGTGGATCTTTTTGGCTTACATCTATCTTTATTGCATTTCATTTTCTGAGAATCAGTCCAATGTTCTTGCCTCTCGAAGTCATTTTGGATCCTGACTCTCTCATCCAGTACATTAGAGATCCCTCCCGGTTTTTGGTTATTTGTGGATTTGATGACCAGGCTATCTATGCCTTACCCAAGTGATTGACATAAAGGGTAAAGAGAACAGGGCAAAGCACAGATCCCTGGGGCACTCCACTGGACACATCCTGCCACATTGACAATGAACCATTAGCAACTCCCCTTGGAGCCATATGACCAGTTCTGAATCTATCTAATGTGATCTCATCTAATGCATGTCTCTCCATCTTTTCCTCAGTAACGGTATGAGACGCTTCATCAAGAACTTTTTTAAAAACTGAGATATGGATGGCACAGTGGATAGTGCACTGGCCCTGAAATCAGGAGGACCTGCGTTCAAATCTGGCCTCAGACACTTACTAGCTGTGTAACCCTGGGAAGGTCATTAAACCCAATTGTCTCCCCCTACCTCCACCAAAAAAAACCCCCAGCAAACTTGACACAGACCCTCTCTACAGCATTCCCCTTATCTACTACTTCAGTAATTCTGTCCAAAAAGGAAATTCTATGAGGTTAGTCTGCCATGCCTTGTTTTTGATGACTCCACCATTGTGGCCCTTTGTAACCATTATTTCCCCTTCTCAATAGTCACCAAGAATCTTTTTAATGAGTAGAAAATGTTCATTGTATGGACTTCAAAAGAGAAAAGGTTACTGAGTGAAGGAGACACAGGGAGAGGCTGGAGGTGACGATGGTGACACAGGACTATTCTGACTCCCCTTTCCAGAGTCTGATAAGGAAGTGAAAGAAGATCCTGGGAAGGACAGCACAGACAGCATTGTCGTGGGTTATGTCAGGGAGAACACCAGACACAGACAATCTCCCTGACAGGTCTGCTGGGGGATCTGCTCTACTGAGTCTCTCCTCCTTCCCACTTCTCCTAGAAACAGCAGTGGCTGCTTCTTCATCCCCAGATGCTCTTTCCTACCTGACGACTGTGGGTGTGAGCTCAGTGGAATGGACACTATTGCTGGAAATGGAGACCACAATACAGTTAATTGCCAGCATTGCCAAAACCACACGTAAAATTTCTATAACCAAAAGAAAAAAAAAAGCCCTCAATAAACCGGAGTTCAACACATCTTGAAGCATTGATTGATGAAATCGTTCATCCATTGATTCTGTCAGCTGATCCATTCATTTATCCATCCACCAATTCATTCTTCATCCATTCATTTTATCCATTCATTTCTTTCTTCGACTGACTCATTCATTCATTTATCCTAATAAAATTTATTATTAGAGGCAGCTAGGTGGTGTAGGGATAGATGCTAGGCTTAGAGTCAGGAAGACCTAAGTTCAAATCTTTCTTTAGATACTTACCAGCTGGGTGACTCTCAGCAAGTCATTTAACCTGTCTCAGCCCAAGTTTCCTCATCCATATAATGGGGATCTTGGCATCTGCCTCCCAGGGTTGTTGTGAGAAATGAATGAGATAACACATGCAAAGCAATTTGCAAACCTTAACATGCTCTATAAATGGTAACTTATTGGTTTGTTTCATCTAGCAAGGAATAAATACTAATTATGCCCTTACTATGTGTAAGGCTCTGTGCTAAGTGTTGAGAGGGTAAAGCAAAGACGAATTCAAAGGGACTGCAGCCATTAAGAATCTCAGTAAACTTAAATTCAAGTCATATGACAACTATTTATTCATCATTTTTTCATTCAATTGTTCTCTCTATCTCCCCCTCTCTCTTTCTATCCATCTATTTATCTATCTATTCATCCATCCATGGATGTCCATTAATCTATGTAAATATCTGTCTATCTATCTCTTTATCTAACTATTGATCAATCTATCTCTCCATCCATCCATCTATCACTCATTCCTATTTTCCTACTCATCCATCCTGACCTGGGTTTGAGTCCTGGCTCTGTCATTTATTCACTCTGCAACTCTGGGCAAGTTGGTACTCCTCTCTCAGCCTATTTCCTCTTCTTCAAAATGAGAAAGTTGAGCAGGTGCCATGACATAGTGAAAAGAATGATGCCTTTGGGGCCAGAAGACCTGAGGTCAAATCCCACTGCTGAGGTTCACTACTTGCGGGACTTTAAATAAGTCATTTCAATTTCCTGGGCCTCAGTTTCCTCATCTGTAAAAATGGGATTTGGATCAGATGACCTCTGAGGTCTCCTCCAGCTCTAGATGTATGATCCTGTCACTCAGGGGTCTCTCTCAAAAGGTCCTTCTGGTCTTCACAGTCAATATGCCTAGGGACTGCCCCTGTGATTTTATCCTTACCTGATGTATAGGGAATGCCCAGGTAAAGAAACTCAACTTACCAACTCAGATTGGCCTTCTCTCTGCAATTTATAGTCTGATAGTGGCCTAGAGCACTGAGGAGTTCAGTGACTGGCCCAGGGTCACACAGACAGTATGTGTGAGGCATTTACTCTATCTCCAACACTGTGCTAAGCCCTGGGGATACAAAGAAAGGCAAGAGCATGGCCCTGGCCCATAAGGAGCTCGTGTTCTAATAGGAGACACAACAAGGAAACAACTATGTATACACAAGGGACATGCAATGTAAATGAGAGGAACTGATCGGCTTTGAGAGCAGATCTCCATCTACTTTGCCTCTAGGGTCCCAAAACTCAAGGAGCCTGCAATGACCATTCATTCCTACCCCAAGGGCTTGGTGCTCTAAGTTACAGGGTATCACAAAGGGCACCAGAGTACATCCTTTCCCTCCATAGTCCCTTGGCAGAATCAAGACTCCAAGTCCCAGATTCATTTCAGTGCCCTATGCTGCAAAGCAGGAGGGGGAGGGGGAGGTCTGCTCAGCCCAGCAAGGCCACAACCAAGCCAGCCTGGGGGGTGGGCAAGGAGCTTCTCCTCAAAGATGATACTGATGATGGTGATGGTGATGATGATGATAGTGGTAATGATGACGATGATGATGATGATAATGATAGCATACATAATATTTATATAGAGTCTAGTATATGCTAGGCACTAGGATAAGTATTTACAAATATTATCTGACAAGAATCCTAAGATGTAAGTGCTGTTATTATCCCTATTGAAAGAGGAGGAAATGGAGGCAGGCAGAGGTTAAGTAATATGCCCAGGGTCACCCAGGTAAGAAGTATCTGAGTCTGGATTTGAACTCATATTATCCTGACTCCAGGCCCAGTGTTCTATCTAACTCCCAGTACTGAGCCACCTAGCTGCCTCTGCTCTATCCATTGGACCATGTAGCTGCCTCTAATTGTACATTCTCCCACTCCCCTTTTCCCCCTTTCCTCAAAGCCCACTCTCTTACCTTGAGACAGAAATGCACTGGCAGGTATGAACAGTCCAGCAAGGAGGAGGCAGGCTACGGTTATTGTTCGACGGCCAAGGTAGTTCATGAGGAACAAGGCCCCAAACCTGCTTAGGAAGGTGGAAGCTCCAAAAAGAATTTGGAGTGTTTGAAGGTTGCGCCCCAGGTCCTGAAGATTCAGAGAAAGCCCGTAGAAAAGCATCCCTGTTGTGAAACTGCAGCAGACAGTGGGGAAAGCAGAGAGAATCCATCACACTTGGAGGCCAGAGCTCACCATTAAATGCAGTTCAGTCCAACAAGCCATGATTAAACACCTGTTGGGTGCCAGGGTCTGTGCTAGGTGCTAGAGACACCAACCCACAAGGGGTTCGTATTCTGCTGAGGGTGGCAATGCTCCTTGAGTACAGTTAAGTCAATGCCAGATAAATTCAGGAGGGCTAGAAGATCACCAAATAGGGAGACCAGAAGAGGCTTCAGTAGGAGCTGATGCCCAGGGCTGAGCCTTGAAGGCAGCCAAGGATTCCAGAAGACAAAGCTGAGGAGAGGTTGAGTTCCAGTCGTGAGGAACCTCACATACAAAGACAGAGACTGGGAGATGGACTCCCTAGTTCAGCAAACATGGAGTCATTTGTGGGTGCAAGGTAGAGATCCTGAAGAGCAATAATGGTAAACAAGTCTGCAAATGTAGCCTGGAGCCAGATTGTGGAGAGCTCCAAAGGCCAACACCAGAAGTGCAGGGTAAAGCCACCTGGGGGGTAGTAACCTAAGCTCTTATGGGGATGTGTGGATAAGACAGATGTTAGGAGCATTAACTAACCTTAAATGTTTATTTAGAAATTTAACTAATTTTATTAACTCCTTTATCTTTTAGCCACAAATAACTATCAGCTAAGGACCCAAATTAAAGTGACAAAGTTGTTGACGAAACAAAATAGGAGATGACCATGAAGTAATCAAAGATTTCACAGTCATTCAATAATAGTCACAGAATTCAGGAATTGGGGTGGGGACAATTAGCACCATTTGGAAGAGAATCAAAGCAGAGAACAACACAACTGATATTATTATAGGCTTTTACTATATACCACTTGGGCTGAGAGAAAAATTGGATGAGGAATTTGGCAAATTAATCACAAACCTGGTGCATTGGAGCAAGATAATACAGTGATAAGAACCTTCAATTATCCAAATATATGTTGCAGCTCACTCTGCTCTGTACAGAACACCAGGTCTAGAGTTAGGAAAACCTGAGTTCAAATCTGGCCTCAGACACTTATGGGATGTGTGACCTTGGGCAAGTCACTTCACTCTATTGGTCTCAGTTTTCTCATCTGTAAAAGGAGCTGGAGAAGGAAATGGCGAGCTTCTCTAGTATCTTTGCCAACAAAACCCCAAATTGGGTCACTGAGTTGGATATGACTGAAAGAAGGAAACAACAACAAAAAGAAAAACCTCATAGTGGTATGAGCTGTCTGAAAGTAGAATGAATCACCCCCAAGAGATAGTGGACTCCCTCTCATTAGAAGTTTTCAGTCAGAAGCTGGATCACTTTTAGTGGGGCTAAGGTGAAGGAATACCAGTGAGTGAATTTTTAATATTAAGGTTGAATTAGATGGCCTGCAAAGGCCTTTCCAACTCTAAGGTTCTACAATTATGTGAATGACAGATAAAAGATTTGAACTGGGTCCCTTCTTTTCTCCTGCGCAGGTACTATGTCAACCTGAGACATTTGGAGAGAGTACCTGTAGGCTTTCACATTCCTCACCCATTATGGGGAACGTACCCTACAAAGGACAAACAGAGCATTCTTGTACGCAGGATGGGAAAGTAGACCAAATCCAACATGGTATAACGGGTCTGTGCTGGAACCAGTTCCATCTCCATGGTGGATCTCAAAGCCTTTAGAGAGAAGAGCCAAGCAGAGAGTCAATCTGAAGGTTAGTGTATGGAAAAATAGAAGGAAGAAGCAGGAAAGATTGGGTGGGTAATAGATTCTAGGCACTGATTGGGACCAAATGAGCATTCACTGGCTATGATCTCAAAGCCTTACTAAATCTTTCTTTTCCCTAATGACAAGCTGTATAATACCATGCCCAGTGGAGCCATGCCTGTGACCATGGCACCAGAAGATTAACTTTGAGAGCCCTGAGGTCATGCAAGATCAGCAGAGACAACAGGCTGTGCCCATGTCTGTCACTGCAGCAGGAGTTGTGCACACCTTGGCCCCATATATCCTCTGTGGGTGCTCCTCCATGGAACTACTGACATCCAGCTTAGAAATAAACATAGCACTCCATGCAACATCAATGCATTTTGAGGAAACTTTAATAAAAATATATCATAGGTACTATCTGAATCAGATGGCTAAATGTTTTTCAGAACTAAGTCAACTCTAACATATATGCATCATATACGGTAACAATCAACAGAAGGGAAATTATCAGCATTAGCACTGTCTCTGGAGGCAAAAACCCCGACTTCAAATCTTCCCATTAATACTCCTGATATAGAATAAGCAGGTCTCTTCACCTCCCTGTGCCTGAATTTTCTCATTTGTAAAATGAGGAGGTTGAATTAGAAAGCCTCTGAGGTCCCTTCCAGCTTCAACTCTATCACTTGCTGGTCCCTGAACATGTCCTGATCTCACACATTCCCTCTTTGGGTTCCTCTCCATGCACATGCAGTAGAGCAAAGAGAATGCTGACTCTGGAGCCAGAATGTCTGGGTTGAGATCCCTCCATTAATATGGTGTGAACTTGTGCAAGTCCCTGAAAATCTCTCTGGACCTCAGTTTCCTCATCCATGGAATGATGGGGTTCGACTAGGTGACCTATAGACATCCTATGTGGGGATTTTGTACTGTATTATGTTTCCTACACATGTCCACTCTACATGTTGATGCTGTATAGTATAATTGTTGAAAGTGGTCCCTAGGTTTATGGGGAAAATACATAGATTTTCTTTTTATGCTGTTTCCTTAAATTCCTTTGCCGTGTCTTGTGTTCTTTGGCTGAACAATAAAGGCAACCATACTAGTGGGCGCTCAAGAGTTATTGTTTGGAGAGGATGTAGCTCCACAGAGAGAACACCATGCTTCTGTTGTATTTTCCTCTCCTCCTTGCAGCAGGACAGGAGGCTGAGGATTTCACTTGGACAGAGGGCACTTTTCTTACAGTTGCTGAGTGTTCTATTTACATTGCCTTCAGGGGCTGGCTTCAGTGCCTGCCTTGTGCTCCTGTAGGTTACCAGAGCACAAATCACTAAACTCATTTCATACAAATCTCATTAAGACTCTTTTCCTAAATTTGCCATGCGTGAGTGGGTGACCCTTGGTATCCTTGGCCACAATCAAGGCTGCTATGGGGCCAGAGAGAGACAGAGAGTATGCACTTAATATCACTATGTGGCAATCACTGTGCTAAGTGCTTTACATGTATGATCTCATTTAATCTTTGTTACTTAATTGTCTCATTGACCATTTCACATTGTCTCTTTATGGAATGGCACGGCTAGAGTTAAACCACTGAGCAAAGAAAGAAATGAGGAGGAAAAACAGAAACAGCCCACAGGAAGGAATGCAGGGAATGAATTTGAGACAGGAGGGGAGGGGGCAGAGGGCTGCAGGGACCCTCTGAAACCAGAGAGGAGAGAAACTCCCCCTCCCCCCTCCTCCACCAGGGGACCCTTACTCCTTCCCATAGTCCCAGCACCTCTTCCCTCAGTCCTGTTTCCCTATCTGAAACAGCTAGGGAGCCCCAGGATTGATGTCTTCAAAAGGCAAGTTCACTATGGCCTGAGATGTCCTTCAATCACTAGGTCTGTAGCACTGTCCACTATGGATTAAAGTATCCACCCCAATCCCTTACTGTTCCCTGGCCCACTGAGATCTGGAGAAACATCATCAGAGATGGGACTTTTCTCTTGGTAGGCCCCTGGCTACTGGGCTTGGCCTGAAAAGCCACCATTTCCCACATCCCAGCCCTGGCTCCTCCTTCTCCTCTCACCTCTATAGTCAGGGTGGTCTCCTTTACTCCATTGATCTTTGCAACTTTTGTGAGCACCTTTAAGGCCTCATCATATCTGTTTTGGACAATCAGCCATCTAGCAGACTCTGGCAACCACCTAATGAAATAGTGCATGAGAGATATAGTTAATTCTCCATTTTCTCCTTATTCAAAATCACGCTTGTGTGGAGCAGAGCTCAGGTTCTTCTTATTAATTCTACAATGAATTACTTCACATCATTTAACATATAAAAGAGAGTTCATGGGTAAAAGCTTTCATTCCCAATTATTCTATGCCACAGGCCTCTAACAAGATGGCCAGAGTTGGCTTAGATTCTTATAATCTAGCCACTGCTGGGATTCTTATAACCTAGCCACTGCTCAGATTCTTATAATCAAGCCAATAACTTAGTAATGTCTTAAGAGGCTGCCCAATATGATGGATGTTCTAATAAACCTTGTCTTTGGCTGAAAGAAGGCTTGGGTCGAATTCTTTTGGGCAGGACCCGGGTGTTGTGATTTTGGGTCCTAGGAGCCCTGGACCTCTAAACTGCATCATTTTGGTGGCCTGTATGGGGAAACTGCCTAACCCTAAGTTCTTCTCCAGACAAGACTGGAAAGTAAGTAAGCCTCCCCTCATTCCTTTCTTGCTCTGCAGTTGGGGTTGCTCTCCAAGCACCAAGGCTTGGAGGTGCTTTTAGGGCAGACAGTTACGAGGCTGTCTCGAACTCAGCCTGACACTCTCAGGCTCTCGGTCCACTGGGTCAGTTTGAGGCCATGGACCTGGGCACACCTTCTGCGGCATAGAGGATGAGGACAGACGCCCTATCTGGAAGTTTTTGCCCAATTCTGTCAATTCTCTCAGCGCTAGAGAATTAGGGAAAAACTGCAGTTGCTTTTTGGTTCCCTGAGGCTTACTTACTCCCCTCTACACCCCTGAATTCTCCTTCATAGAGGTTATAGGGGAAAGTTAGAACAGCTAAAAATATCTTGGCAGATTCTGGAGGTTTTGTGATTGATCATTAAGGAGTTTAGAACTCCTCCTTACACCCCTGGTCACTCTTCTCTCCCTCTCCCTTTGCTTGAGTCAAAAGGGTATCTGTTAACCCCTCTCATAGGAAAAGAGAGTTTCACCCTTTACCCCTCACTTTTGATTTTGCCCTCCGCCACCTGGGGAAAAGAAAGGAGGGGGAGGGGCAGCAGCTATAGCATGGGCCCCCCTGGCAATGCCCTTGGGCTCTGGGACAACCTTAGCCTGGAAGCATCACCCAGGTTCAGCACATCCTGCTCAAGGTTGAACTTGGGTGAGCACGCTCTTTTAAATCTGTAGTTTTAACTGTTAAAGATGAGATGCTGATTCTCTTTGTAAAGTAATTTGGAAGTGCATTTAACAAAACTGAAGTCACCTGATTGGTAATGGGTTTGTTTCAAGTTTCAAATTGGTGAACTTTCTGTATCAGTTATGTCAAGCAACTTTTCATAATTTGCTTACTGCTAAAATAATGTGGCTATTGTTGGTTGTTGTTTTAATGTATAAACTAGCTGAAAAGCTTGTTTGGGTTATGGCTTGCTGAGAATTTGCAAGTGTATAGAACTCTCTAATGATTGGCTTTTTACACCAGGACAAATTTAAGTTTGAGATGTAAATCCTGGAAAAGTTTTTCCTAAACTGTGATTAGTGAAACTTGCTGTTTGAGGTAAAAGCTCATAGGATTTTATTTTGAGTTGTCTGGATCATAATTCATTAATAATCAATAATCCACCATCTTGAGAGAAATGCCACAAGCTACTCAGAGAATGTGATACTGGTAGGAAGTCAGCTTTGGGAAAAGCTGAGAGGACAATTTTAACTTCAGTCTAAGATGGAATCCTCCTGGCTCAGTTTCCCCATTATGTTCCTTTGAAAGGAAATGTTACCCACCTGACTATTCCTGAGTCTGGCTATGAGGTGGATTTGATACTGCATGGTTGGAAAACAGGAATCCAAACAGAGCTAAAGATGTTTTATCCTCTCAAAGTTGGGCCCTAAATCTAGTCCCTGCTTTATATCTGGGCCCTGCAGTTTTTTCTGTCAGATTTGTGTCTTCCAGACTATGGGCCATTCACCTACAGTTGGTAGCAAACAGCAGGTACCAGCCAATGTTCCCCCATCATTCCCTGGATGCAGGCTGTGCTTGGTTCCAGTCAACCTCCTCTTTGGGACCCCCTGAAGGCAGGGACAGCTCTATGCCCCTTACCAGCAGGAAGCAGTTTCAGAAGCTGAGACCTTTGCCCCTTACTCCAAAAGAATTTGGGTCCCATTTGTTTGAGGGGGGAATGATGGGGTTAGGATCTGGGCCCCAGAAAGGAAAAACCCTGAACTTTCCCACATGGCCAAATCTCTGGTGTTCACCTGAGGCTATAATCCCATCAATTGGCCTTTCATTGTGGCTGAACCCAATCTCCCCTCCATTGTCTTGCCTCCCTATGGCCCCAGGCCAATTCCCACCCTTGGTAATTCTATTACCTCATGGACTACTTGACCACTCCTAGATCCCTCCCACAGTCTTTCTGTATATAAGGTCCATCTAGTCTCCGTTAAGATGCTTAGATTCTTATAATCTAGCCATTGCTCAGATTCCTAAAATCTAGCCACTGCTGGGATTCTTATAATCTAGCCACTGCTTAGATTCTTATAATCAAGCCAATAACTTACTAATGTTCAGACCCCTTAAGAGTCTGCCCAGTATGATGGATGTTCTAATAAACCTTGACTTTGGCTGAAAAAAAGAAGATGGCCAGAGTTACTGATAAGCTGGAGCCCTTCTTCATTTTTTCCCCTTTGATAAAAGTTTTTTAAAAGAGTCAGGACAGGTTTTTGTTTTTGAGTCAAATCTGTCCTCCTAATAGATGATCAAATAGACCTATCAGGAAAACCTTCTAAAATTTTCAGTAGATGAGACAGTATTTAAATGACCCTTTCATTCCTCGAATCACTGAGGGGGAGCAAATCTCCTCCTCTATCCCATGACAATAATCATCTCAGGTGCACAATTCAGCAAGAATTCATTCTTGTATCAGCAATGCAAATGCAGAGAGGAGAATTATGTTATTTGGATATGTCTTGAATCACTGCACAGGAAACACACATTTCCATCCATCTTAATTGAAGCTTATCTGATCTTTTCTATTAGAAATGTTTTGTTTCCTTGATTTTCAGGCTTTCCTCTAAACATTCTCTATTCCTTCATTAGGCTAGTAAAAGAAAATAATAAATAAATACAACAGGTCCAACATCCACTTGTCACAATTTCAAGGTTAAAAAAAATGCCTCTTGAATTCATCTAGCATTTCTTCCCCACAGCCTTTATTAGAGAGATTAGATATGTGTTTAATAAGTCCCCTTAACATTGTAATACAACTTTCTACACCATACATTGAGAGCATCAGAGCAGAGTACTCTCCCTGGGAATGTGAGATCATTAGTGCTGAGGCAGAGCCATTTTAAGAATTCTCTAACAAATTTTTATATCTATATGAGTTAGAAGTCCCTTTGGAAACAAGAGATAACTTCAAACAACTTAGAAATAAGACTATTCTAATTTCTAGAATATTGATATTTAGAGCATAGACCATTTGACTCACTTCATACACATTTCATTAGGGTTGTATTTCTAAATAATGACTCCAAGTCCTGAGTCATGCACAGTAACATAGTCATACAATAAAACTTTCATAATCTTGCTTCAAGGAAAGCTGTGCTGTATTGCATTAATACCCATTAATAGATTTGTTTGGTTACTAACTTGAGATGAAAAATGCTATCCATCCCCAGACAAATGTCTGATGGTGTCTGAATACAGGTTGAAGTATGACTTTTTTACCTTCTTTATTTTTCTTGAGTTTTTTTTTGCCTATGTTTTCTTTCACAACATGACTAATATGGAAATGTGTTTTTTATGACTACTTGTGCATAACTCATATTGAATTGCCTTCCTTTAATGAGGGTGGTGGCGAGGGAGGAAGGGAGTTTGGAAATCAAAGTTTTAAAAATGAATGTTAAAAATTGTTTTTACATGTAATTGGGAAAATAAAATAGGAAATAAATTTATAAAAAAGAAAAGAAAGAAAAGTCCTCCTCAGGACCTCAGGGGGTTGGAGAGTGAGGTGGATGGAAGGAAGAAGCAGGGGCAGGCCAAGGCCAAGGCCCTCCCCTCTCAGGAGGTTTAGCTGGAACACTCTATCCTGACTTGCCATTTGCTGAAATCTGAATGTCTGTAGACTCAGAACTGACTTGAGATTTCACAGATGAGCCCAAGGATGGACCTAGTTTCTTTAGCCAATCTGGACACTCTTCCTGTACCATGTCTCTTCCGTTTCATCCAATGGCTCATCAGAGACAGCTAAATTAATCAAGGTTTTTTCACACTAAGTTGGAATCCAATTGATTGATTTGGTTAAATGGGAACTCCTTCCCAACTAGTTAAGGTATGATGGCCTGGCGTTTTATCATTCACTTTAGGAGGGATAGATGGGGCCAATTACTCAATAAACTCCCTCACCCTTTTACACACACACACACACAAACACACACACACACACACACACACACACACACACACAGAGACAGACAGACAGACAGACAGACACAGACACAGACACAGACCCTTTATTTATAATAGCCTGATGTGAATGCTATAATTCCTTGCTTCTTTCCTTTTTTCTTTCTTTCTTTCTCTCTTTCTTTCTTTCTTCCTAGTATTAACCAAGAAACTATTATCCCCTTTCTTAAAGGAAGGTTTAGATCATTTTTATTACCTGAAATTATTATATCATGTGATTATACATTTTAAAATAGACACTCACTTCTTGCACTCTGAACTCATTCTTAATTTTCTTGAAATGTGCCTTATGGAGATTACCATGAGTTCAATTATAATTGATCCTCACAACAACTCATGGAGGGAGATATTACTACTCAACTCATTTTACAGATGAGAAAACTGAAACCCAGAGAGGCTCAGTGACCTCCTCCGGGTCTCACAGCTAGCAAATACCTCAGGCAGGATAAGAAGTGAAATATTCCTGACTCCAAGCCCATCCCCCTAGAGTATACAGTCTCTAGCTGCCTAGTAAATAGAGAGGGAATTTACCTATTCATTCCCAATGCAGGGGTCATCTTAACTTGCCACTGTAGTTTTAGAACTTGAAGGGATCCGAAAGGTCACTTAGTCTGACCCGGTCATTTTGCAGAGGGGTAGGTAAGTGATTTGACCAAGGTCACTCACCTAACAAGGGGCAAAGGTAGGATTTGAACTCATGACTTCTTCCTTCAAATTTAATGAACTTTCTATCTCATCTCTGCTGTCCTGAGATATTCTTTTTAGGAAAAGTCTGCTCAAAATGAATAATTTTCACTTTATTTTCATTACTTCTTATAACCTAGAGATAATTTGAAGAAAATATCTGCTTTCAAGGCCATCTCATCCACACATGGATTTTTAACTCCTGACTGGCACCCAAGCCCCTGATGGGAAACATTCCCATCTTCTTACTAGACTGGAGACATCCTGAACTGAGCTTTTTATATAAAGAATCTTGGGATTCTTCACCCTCCATCTGCAGTCTCTCAGAGAGCGAACAAGAGCCCCGGGGGCACTTACCAAGAGGCCAGGAAGAAGGCAAAGAAGGGAGCAGACATTACCAGCTGGAGTTTGCGCCACTCCTGGATGCCATAAGCCACAAGCCCAAGAAACAGATGGCCCAAGCTAAAGCACAGAGTGACAAAGACTACTACCAGGGGCCGGTGCTGGCTGGTGGTCCATTCCTGGGCTGAAAGGAAACCACAGCACAGAATTAATTTCAGACAAATGTGGGATCTCAAAGAACAAATGTAAATGTTGAAGAAGTCTCACAACGAAGACTTACTGAGGTTTCCACTGCCAAGTAAGATTCCTGTTACTGAAGACCCCACCAGGAAGCGAAAACAGCAGTAAACTGGAAATGACTGGACAAAGGCAGTGCCGGTGCTGGAGACAGCCAACATGAGGAAACTTGGAAGCAGCATTCCTTTTCTCCCAAACCTACATCATGGGAAACCAGATGGATGTGACCTCAGGACTGAGGCATAAAGTCATCTCTCCATCCAGCACACCCCTGGTAACCGTCTAGACTTCAGGCCTCATCATTCACCTTTTCCCCATGTGCCTTCCTTTGCCAGGACCCAGGGTACAGATGCCAGTAGTGACTGGCCTTAGCTGAGTTTTCAGTTCAGCCAACTTCATTTAAATTAAACAGCAAATTCCTCAGAGGCGTTCTCACTTGATGAAGATGTCAGGGCATACAGCATCTTACTGGTCCATAAAGCATCTCTAGGTGGGGCAGGGTGACTGACTGACCATTGAACCAATCCCTCTCCTTACATGTTTATATGAAAGAAGAGACATGTCCTCCGAACATAAAGTCACAGAGAGTACTCTCACCTAATGTCTACTACACTATATTCCATACAGTAGACACTTAACAAATGCTTGTTTAAAATGCAAAGTTCTTTGAATGATCCCAAGCTTTTCCCAGGGGAAAAAAACCCATCAGTTTACATTCTTTGTCACCTCAAAAAATCCATAAACATTTTTGTACATAGGACCAATCTCTCCCTTCATTAAGCCACTGTTTATTTCCCCATCACCTCTGTTTTCCCTTTTCTACCTTTTATTCCTACTGAGTGAAGTGTTTTTCTGTACCTAGCTCTGTGTCTGTGTATTCTTTCTCCTTTTGACTGGTTCAGATGAATGGGTATATGGGTTGTTCAGGGAGGACTCAGACCTCTGGTGTGAGGGCTTGCCAAGCCCTTTTCTTTCTTTTTTAACTTAATATTTTATCTTTTGCAATTACTTGTTTTTTCTTTTCTTTTCTTTTCTTTTCCTTTCTTTTCTTTTCTTTTCTTTTCTTTTCTTTTCTTTTCTTTTGGCGAGGCAACTGGAGTTAGGTGACTTGCCTAGACTCACACAGCTAGTAAATGTTATGTGTCTGAGGCTGAATTTGAACTCAGGTGCTCCTAACTCCAAGGCTGGTGCTCTATCCACCGCACCACCTAGCTGCCTCCCCAATTACATGGAAAAACAATTTTTAACACTGTTTTTTTTTTAAATTTAGAGTAACAAATTTTCTCCCTCCTTACTTACCCTCTTCCTTTCCTGACTTAGTAAGCAATATATTAGAGTTTATACATAGACAGTCATGCTAAAATATTTTCATATTGGTCAAGTTGTCAAAGAGAACACAGAAAAAACAAACAAACAAGAAAAATAAAGGAAGCTTTTAAAAAGTATGTTTAGATTTGCATTAAGATTCCATCAGTTCTTTTTCTGGAGGTGGATAGCAACTTTCATTATAAGTCCTTTGGAACTAGTTGGGATCATTGTATTGCTGAGAATAGCTAATTCATTCACAGTTGATCATTGCGCAATATTGCATTACTATACCCAACGTTGTCCTGGTTCTGCTCATTTCATTTAACATCAGTTCATGTAAGTCTCTGCAGGTTTTTCTGAGAAATCTTGCTTGTCATTCTTAATAACATAATAGTATTTCATCACAATCATATACTGCAACTTGTTCAGGCAAATGTTTCATGAATGTGCACAATTATTTGCGCACTGTCACCCCCACAAAAAGTCAGCTTCTTGAGGGCAGGGACAGTTTTGGTTTTTCCTTCTACCCTCAGCTCTTAGCACAGGTTCTGGCACATAGTTCAAGTTTAAGAAATGTTTATGACTGACGACTCTCTGACCTTTGCCCCAAGTTCAACCCATCACCAACCTGTCTATCTTACTGTGTTTTACTTCAGCATTAGACCTATCTTAACCCACAGCTCCAAATCTAGCCCTGAATCTTCTCCCTGTTATGGTGGGCAATTGGTATTGTGTAGAAACAATGCTAGACTTAAAAGCAGAGAGATCTTGGTTTGAAATCTGCTTTGGACTCTAGCTATGTGACCTCGGACAAGTCTTATCACTTCCATAGGCCTCGGTTTCCTCCTTTGTCAAATGAGTGGGTTGGAGTAAATGATCTACAGTATCATCTTCCAACTTTAAGCTCTGTGGCTCTAGGCTCCCTTGGTTTCAGGAACATCTGTGTCCAGGTAAAACTCACCTGTCTGAGAGATAGCCCCATATGGGATATCCCATCAGAAACCCAGCAAGGAATATTGACTGAGACACAGACTTCACTGTCCGGGAGTCACACACCAGGTCCCACTGAAAGAGAAAATGAGAGCATCGAATCTCAAAGTGAGGAAAGAGAATTTGGGGCTCAGGAATCTCGCTGCCATTATGAAGAAGAAAAACTGTGATGGGAAAAGACTTCTTGCCCCACTGTGATAAGAAGAGGACACTGCCTCCATCATCCCAATGCACAGTCAAGCTTGGGACCTCAATTTCAAGGCCATCTTGACCCTGCTCTTCCTGGTGCAGCCATCCTTACCTGCCCCCTTCTGAAGTGTATACCCTTATCTTCTCCTCCTGCTTTCTGTGAAATTCCATTGTACC